AAGAAGATGCACCTGTACAGACTGTGGAAGGATGGCACGCTGCCAGAGAAGTTGATCTTTCCGTGGAGCACAGCCAGCTCATGTGTAGCACCATGGAGGGCAAGATCACAGCTGGAGGGAAGAGGAAAAAATGGCCCTTAGAGCTTGAAGACGTGCTTTAATTCCTTCAGAGGATTTTGTTTTCAGTGAAATTAGGCATCAGGATCATCATCTGGGAGACAATTGGAAGAGTGACCTGGACATTTAAGATGAGACCTGATAGGAAATTATGGAAAAGGTGGGGAGGTTGAATGGATGAAAATAGAATTGTTTGCTATTATTCACTTCTTGTGCAAAGTTGGAGATTATTAATTTAGAGTGAGGGTAGTCATTATGGCAGTTGCATTTTCTTCAGACACTTGGACCAGCCTGTGTCTAACTCAGTGTAGTTATTTTCTTTGGCTGCCCATGTGCCTGGAACCTTTCTTCCTTTAAGCTTCCTCACGCCTAAGTCTTTGCTCAAATATCATCATCATGAGACCTTCCCTGGTCACACTGTTACAAATTGAAAGTTCTTTATATCCACATACCCCAAATTCTCTAATGCAAGTTTATTTTATTCTCTAACTTTCATCACTTTCTGGTTTACTATGTAATTATGTTTCTTGTTTCATGCTATCCCTAACTCTGCTTGCTGCAGATGCTTCCCCATCGCATTGATTTCTGTATTTTAAACATCTAATATAGTCTTTTTTAATATATCACAGCTACAGTTAAGTATTTATTGAATGTTTTACTTAATTTAATGTTTAGCGCTGATCATTAAAGTTGAACAGATTAAATTCTTTGGCAAGTTACTCTTATTATTATTTTTAAATAGAGTGATTTGTAAAACAAAATGTAGAGGGTGGGAGAAAGAGAGATCCAGAGGTTGATCTTCCATCTACTGGTTCGCTCTCCACATGGCCACCACAATTGGGTCTGAGCCACGGCTGAATTAGAAGTAGAGCCAGCTGGGGGTTGCAGAGGTTTGAGGGTGGGAAGGTGGTATTGTGGTGCAAAAGGCCAAACCATGGCAACAACAGCACATATGAACCCTGTTACTCTACTGCTGGTGCAGCTCCTTGTTAAGGTACGTGGGAAAGCAGTGGAAGATGACACAAGTGCATGTGTCCCTGCCACGCTGTGGGGAGTCCCAGATGGAGACTGCTGGCTCCAGTCTGGCCTAGCCCCAGTGGTTGCAGAAGTTTATGGAGTGAACCAGCCAATAGAAAGACCTGTTGCTCGTGACCATTCTCTGTAATTCTGCCTTTGAATAAATAAGTAAACCTTCTAAAAAGAAGCAGAGCAGCTGGGACTCAAACTAGAATTCTAATACAGCAGCCTGGCTCTGCAAACAGTAGTTTAATTTGCTGTTCAAGATGTCAGCCTCTTTTGGCAAATTATTGAATGCCTGAAAGTTGGTATGTTCCTGAAAGTAGTATGTCACATCAGTGTTGTTTTATTACTGCTAATAATAAATTGCACCAAAAGGACTCTTTTTTGTCTTTGATATGTTTTTCTGTTCATCATGCCATGAGATCCTAATTTAATGCACCAGGACCTCACTGATATCTGATTACCTAAATTTGAAAGTGGCATAAAAGTACAGTTTATTTATATTCATTCACATACTTAATATTCCTAATTTGGGCCCTAAACTGACCTTATTCCCCTGTGTCATGGCAGTTTGTGGTTATTTATAACTACTTGAATTTAGCTTTAGCAGGTGTCTATAAATATCTTTTAAGATTTATTTTATTTTTATTGGAAAGTCAGGTATATAGAGAGGAGAAGAGACAGAGAGGAAAATCTTCTGCCCAATGATTCACTCCCAAGTGACTGCAATACTGGGGGTTCACCAGTCTGAAGCAAGGATCCCGGAGCTTCTTCCCGGTTTCCCATGCGGGTGCAGGATCCCAAGGCTTTGGCCCATCCTCTACTGCTTTCCCAGGCCACAAGCAGACACTGGATGGGAAGTGGAGCCTCCATGATTAGAACTGGTGTCCATATGGGATCCCAGTGCATGTGAGGCAAGGACTTTAACCGCTAGGCTACCATTCCTAGCCTATAAATATCTTTTGATTTGATTTATTTTAGCACATTAGTAAAAATTTTGCTAGCCTGTCAGGGTTAACTGAAAATTTATAAGAAAAATATTTAAATCAGACTGCTGGGTAAATTTTTTCTGGAAGTATTATATGTATTGAAAATTTTAAATGTTTATATGAAATTAATCCATTTAAGAGCAATTTTAGTTGAAAGTGTTTTCTTTTTTTCTAAAGACTCTTGATTTTAAACAATGCATCTTTCTCTAGCTCTGGAGACTGCAGTTTCATTGGTTCTGTTACTTTGCACCAACAAGGGTTTCTGTCATGACATTCCTAATTGAGATACGTAGTTTTCCCTCCCAGGCTGTGGGAGGGGTGGGCAGCAGTGCCCATCTGTCTGTCATTCTGCCGCATTGTTGGCCGTCGTGTCTCCCGCTCAAGGCTGCTGTGGTGGCACAGGCCACCGCACACTGCCCTCTCCCCAGGGACCCTTCTCCACCCAGCGCAACCCTCGGTTTTAATGAGTTTTTCTAATCAAGTTTTTCTTTAAAATTATAATTACAAAATTTTATTGTCATCTTGAGAGTTTTCATGGATTGATTGTAAATTTAATGTGTATATAACAAATGTCTAGACTACTGAAGGCCTTGAAACACTGATAATAGTGTAACTTGCTTGCATTGTAAAATTGCTTGAAATGTACTACTGATAGGTCAATAATTGAAGAGCTGTGAAAATCGTAAAACTTAACTGGTTGAGAAAGTATGTAATTTTTAAAAGGAAGTTTATTATCAAGTCTAGGTTTATGTTTTTGAGACATTCGTATGACATATGATTATATTTTAAAAACCAATTTAAATGATGAATGTTCAATTTCATGCAGCAATATCGCTTCACATGGAATGTTTTAAATGAGGATACTTTGTTTAAATTGTCTCAGTTCTCTGTTAAGATGGCTATTTGAAGACAAAAACGCTTCAGGGAAACCTCAGTGGTATCAACGTGGAGAAAAAGGAGCAGAAACCAGTTTTGTTGCTTGAAAATAGTTATGACCTCTTACACTGCTATAAGATCATATCACAAAAGATGAACAAAGCAGGATTTGTTTGTTTTTGCAGTTTGAAGTGTAGAGAAAGTAAAATCATTGATCTGGAGAATTATATTTAATTGGTCTGTAGAATTATAGATTTCTCATTTTAAAATCAACTTTAGTCTGCACTATGGAATTATACATTAATTTTTGAAACATTTCTAATAATACATATTGTGTCACTAGTATTAATTTCTAAATTTTTATTTTTTTGGAATAAATGTAAAATATTAAGATTTATGTAAATATTTGTCATTGTAAAGCAACTTTAAATTCTCTTAAAAATCTATTTGCAACCAAATTGTGTTTGTGCTACTTTCATTGTTATCAGTAATGTTACTCTTGTTATTACTTACAATAACAAATAAACTCATCCATAACTTTTATTTTCCAGTTACCCAAAGATTATTTATTACTAAATGATTACTATGAATCAAGTAAAATGATAGGGTACATGATAGCTTAGAGGAATAGCTTTTTCCAACAGTGCTTATTTTTTAGTTCAGAATTATTTCCTTATAGCAATAGCTAAAAGTATTCTTATCTTTTCCTTACTCTGAAATGCTGCTGCTGTTTGAGTGGTGTGTGACTGCATTGCATTCAGAATTATTTCCTTATAGCAGTAGCTAAAAGTATTCTTATCTTTTCCTTACTCTGAAATGCTGCTGCTGTTTGAGTGGTGTGTGACTGCATTGCTGCACTTGGCATGGGGCATGGAGGGAGGAGGCTGTTACTGAATGACAGACCAAGGGGTTTGAGGAACTGTCTCAACGTTCCTCTTCATTCCTTCTTCTCTTGTGGCTGTTCCTGGATATGTGTATATGTATGTATATATTAGTAACATATTTGTCTATACATAAAACCTGCCTTTCGTTTGAAGAGCAAAGGTTTGCAGTCTGTCCATCGGTCAGTGTGTCTTTGTCTCTGTCAGGACTACGTCCAGAGTTGCCGGCACCTGTGTCTCACCACGTGATTAATTCCTGTTGGCTCAAACCACTGGCTTGAGTAACAAAAAATAGATTCTCATGCTCGAAAATGCATACTCAGTAAATTGTTGGGGATTTATCTCTTCTTAGACTTGAACTTATCCACTCGTTTAATAAAATTGATGGGTTACTTCCAGTAAACACAAAGATGAAAACCTTTTAGAAAGTCTTTAGTCATAATCTCTTAGAGCAAAATAAAAATGATGTCTTAGTTTGTTCTACTTGTCCGTAATCCATTACTTTAAATTTATCATTTTATTGCCACCTTATTTTTTTAAAAAATGGTAATCCATCAAATTGCATACTTAATTTGATTTATACTGCTGTTGAAATGTGTGCAAGTCAAATTTTGCATGAATTTCAAACTGCCTCATTTTCAGATTAATAACATTTCATTTTATGAGAAAAGCACCAACATTACAAAATACTAGTTTTGATACCAAGATATAATTCAGTAATTGTGTGTATGACAATTATTTAATTTTAAAACCAGGTTGAAGTATATGACATTTAGCAATTTTTCCATAGATTTCAGTCTTTCAGTAACATTTCTCAAATTCAAACTGTGTACTCATAAATACATGAGATCAACATTAGTTTCTCTCCCAGGTAACTCAGAAGTAGATAGGAAATAGAAAAAGTGATATTGGGGCAAGTGGGCTTTATAATTTGTTATTAATTCTGTATCTACAATGTAGGCATCTTATGTTATTTTAATTAGCTTTTGTTTGTGACTCTGCAGCATGTGCCAGTATATGTGTCATATATTTGAGATAGTCTACTATTACTATTTTCATATAAGTTGCAGTTTAATTTTGTGGAACAAATAGCTAACAGGAAACTTTTAAATTGCAGTTCATTGATGGGCGACTGGTGAAGCTCAATGCCGGAAGAGGGTTTTCTGATGTGTTTGAAGAAGAGATCACCTCAGGAGGCTTCGGTGGAGGTGAAGTATGGCTGCAAGCTCTTGCAGACACTGCTGCGTGATCTTTGAACTTGGAGCTGTAGCAGTCTCTTTCCTTGCATATATAATAGCTTGAGTGTGTTTTCCTAGCTTAATAGCTGGGATGTTAATTTACAGTGCTGATATCTGTTACTCAAGGCTTTAAAATGGTCTCATGAATTGGCAGCCATTGGCTTGAACAGTCTATGTTCCTGGACATACAAAACATGAAGTTCCATTTGTTTTCATATCCTTTCATCTAAATAATATTGATCTCTGCCAGAAAGTGACTAGCTGTGGGTTTTACCTGAGTTTAGGATTAAAGAGTAGGTTTTAATATAATCCAAAAAGAAAGATTTGAGCAGCACGACTTAATTCCAATTTTAAAGTAAGTGCATTTTTGCATGCAAGTTTTGGCCTTCATTTACAGTGCGGATTACTGTAGCGTTAGGAAAGTTTTACATTACCCTTCCATGAATACAACTAATCCTTACAATATCAATATTCAGTGTTGTAATTTGTCTAGGCAGTTACTAATTTCTGAATTGATATTTTGTGTACTGTTTTTCTGATACCTAGTTTGGCTTTCAGAGAGTTTTGCTTGAGTCTGAAATGTGCTTTAATTCATTCAGTCACCATTTTCTGAGTGAACTAAATAAACGAACAATTCTACTTTTTGTATCTTGGAGTGTTCGATTTTGACCTGGTATAATAGTATATAATCTACCTCTTGGTATGTTTGTTGTAAGGTTAGAAGAATAATATATGCATAAATAAGTAGCTGTCAGAATTGAGGAGTAAAACATGAAAAGAAAACACCAAGAAGTACTTCAGATTTTACAAAATTCAGTTTTATTCATCAGTAAGATTCTTTTCTTGCCATAAATGTATGCCTGTGTGCCCCGTGGGAATGTCTGAGTCCAGATGCTGATTCTGCTCCAGACTCCAGCTTCCTGCTGATGTGTCCTGGGAGGGAGCTGGTGGATGGCTCAGTTCTTGGGTCCCTACCACATATATGACAGACCCGAGTGGAATTCTGGGCTCCTGGCTTTGACCCAGCCCAGCCCAAGCTCTTTTTGCCATTTGAGGAATGATGTACTAAAAAGAATATTTCTCTTTCTCGTTTCCTTTGTGTGTATACCCTTTCCTTTCAAGAATTATGTTTTTTTTTTCCAAAATATGAAAAAAGCTTTGAGACAGTTGGTTCACTGAAAGAGTTATTATCATGAACTTGGGAAGTGTATACCCTTATCTAATATGATAACAGCAAATAACTGAAAGCACTGGCTTGGGGTAAAAAGTTAGCTACTTGACTCAGCAAGAACATTCAGCTTCTTGCTTTTCTCAGCTAATGGGTAAAATTTTAGTTTCAATGATACTTTTGTGTCAAAGTTACGCATTTTTACTTTTCAACTCAGACAAGCAAAATATTGTCAGTTCATGGACAAATTGCTTGAGGCGTCTATTCGATATTTACATAACTGCTGTCTCATTATCTTTGTGACCCATGGGGCTAGTAGCTTTTTTAGAATTGAAGATGACATCTGTGACAGCAATGGGGTAGAACTATGATCCTTTTATATAGTAAAAGGTGGCTTTTCTAGTCTAACAAGTATTAATTTCCGTGAGTACAGCAAGAAAGTACCTTAAAAAGTATGCCTGAATGTCAAATGCTATTATTTTAATTGTATTTTAGTGTATTTTATACATAGACAGGTACCATTCTTACAAGAAAATAAAGTAAAACTTACAAAATTTTTAAATAAAAATGTGAAAAAGCTATTAAAATTAGTAATGTTCTTTAAAAAAATTTTTTTTTCATTTATTTCATTTATTTTAAAAGCAGTGTTACAAAAAGAGAAGGGAAGACAGAGATGAAGATTTTGCATTAACTGGCTCAGTCCCCCAATGGTCAGTGCTCGGCCAGGTTGAAGCCCAGATCCGGGGGCTTCATCTGGGTCTCACACATAGATGGTAGGGTCCCCAGCTCTCGGGCCACCTTCTGCTGCTTTCCCAGACACATTAATGGACAGCTCGATGGAACAGCCTGGGCTTTTATTGGAGCCTCGATAGCAAGCTGGCAGCATAACCTGCCATTGGCCCTAGTGATGTTCTTTTTTACTGTTAATTATAAGCTGCCTATGTTAAGGGTGTGTGTGTGTGTGTGTCTGTGTTTAAGACTGCCACCAAAGTCTTTCCTAAAGGTCAACTCTACAACCTGTCATTTAGAGGAAAATTGGCATAATTGGAACATCTTCTTCAAGGAAGCGCATCACTCTTGGTGTTCTTGGTCATATTTTTTGCATAGTGTTAGAAAAGCTTTTCTATGGTAGGAACTACCAAGAGCTCTACAGAAATGGTAGCACTCAACCCCTGCAGCGCCCAGCAAAGCACCTGGAATATACTGCATGCGTTTGAGTACTCAGTTTAATAAGCTCTTTCAACAGCCAAAGTACTGGTCAAAGTTTGAATTAAACATGCCTGCACCAGGCTTCAGGGTCATTGCTTTAATAACTGAAATATTTTGCTTTCTCATGGTAAGAGGTCTCGATGAGAAAGCATCCTGTCAGCAAAAATAGCGTCCAAGCCTCCCCCGCTCTAACTAGCAGGGTTCTTGTTTCACATGGATCGTGAGGATTTTGTTTTAAACACAGAGACCGCAGAAAGATGGAGGAATAATCAACATTAACTAAAATGACAAAAAAAGTTTCTGTAATCAAAAGTAATTAGGAAATTTCAGAGTATTATGTGCTGTCCTCTTTATATATCATTGCAGTGGTCATTTGTACACCATTTCTGTTGATAGTAACAGTGGTTATGATAAACTCATTACACATGTGTGGAGCTTTACGATTATTTTGATTCTGATTAAATATATTATGCGGGATGAAGAGATATAGAACAGCAGGTTCATGTGAAATTCTGGATTCGTGTTTAGAAACTGTGACTGCAAGGAGACTTTCAAACATTGCTTTCTGTCCCATGAGTTCTTGCAGTCAGGACTGCTAAGGAAATCCACGTTACATCTTGTTTGTTTCATGAGATCCTGCAGAGCCTTTGACCTGCAGAGGAAAATGATAAAAAATATGAGGAGACATGTGACGGGAAGAAACTGTCGAGGTAGAGGTTGGAAGGTAATAGGATGGGATGTGAATAGTGCAAAAGGTGGGTTAGATAAACACATTTGTTTGTCTCTGAAAAATCAACTGATAAATTGGATAGTTAAGAACATTTATTCCTCCCCCCACCCCATTTACAACAAAACTAGTTGTTAAATTCAGGCCAAATTATTTGCACATTAAGAAGTAAAAGTATTTTGAAACTTATTTTATGTAAGACTGTGTGATTGTTCTCCATCATAAGCACTTGCTCACCCCTTCCACCCCTTCTCATACGTAAAGCAGTCAGTGCACCGTCCTCCCCTCTCTTTCTTCTGAGGTTCCAAAGAGGTTTGAAGAGGCCACAAGAAGTGATCCATGCCAGTAGCATGTGTGTGACCACAGTAAATAACTTAGGCCATTTGTATATTTTGATAAGTAATTCCATAGTCCTGGAATTTAAAAAATTATATTTGAAGAGACAATCTTTTCACCGGTGAGAAATAAAGATATTTTATCTTAAAGTGGGAAAAAGTCAGATTTTTAATAGGAATAATATTTAAGAAATCACTCCACAATGATTATTGCTGCTGTAATGCCACTATTTTAAAAGGACTCTGAGAGATTTTTTATTTTGGCAGGTTAATTACTTTTAAAGAACAGAAGTAACCTTATTTTTTAAGTGTCAAAAAATAATGTACTTGACTTAGATTTCTTGAAAATAGCAATTTTTAGTCCCATAAACCATACAATTGAAGGAGACAAGCTCAGCCAATGTTTAAAAGGAAGCTGAGTTGTACCAGGATTCCCCATCATATGCAGTTTGCTTCTTTCCAGGGGCTTCTTGTCCGTACTACTGCCCCACAACACCCCAGCTGCCAACCAGTGCTTTTCACCATCCGTTTCCCCAGGTGGGGTTCTTTTTTGGGAGCCCTTTGTCCTCTCTAATACAGTTGCTTTTCAGTAATTCAGAGAAATCTCTGTAATTTCAGGTTTATTATACTTAGTGGTGGTATTTCAAATGTTTAGGAATAAACAACTTGGAATTAAAACACCTAGATTCTTGTTTGTTCCTTCAGTTCTTGCTTGGTAAACATGGACACATGGGATTTTCATTTCAGAACCTCAGCTTCCACCTCTGGGAAGTTTTTTGTAGTAAAAAAATAACAGTGATGGCGTTTTTGTGGCTTGCTGGAGTCCTCACGGAGTGGTCAGTGGCCATCAAGTTTCATCCCCAGTGACCCTCAAAGACAGTGGCTGAAGTAGTTCCATGATGAATGAGCAGGGTGAGGCTCTGCCAGATAATGGTCCTCGTCCCAGATCACCCGGTTGGCCAGCCTAGTGGGGGTCAGGGCTCTGAATGCCACCTTCCTAGTTGTAGAACCCACTGCCCATGGTACCTGCCTTTGCATGCTAGAAAAATGCACTCAAAATATCCTGTTAATGACCTGCAAAGAGCTGAGTGTGAGCTTTTCTATTCCTTTCTGCAACTGCTCTGAAAAGCAGTTTTGGGACAATAATAGAAAATAAAGACTTTCCAGAAGAAAGTAATCTGAAGAGCGTTGAGTTCCACTCAGCCATTTCTAATAAAGAAATCAAAGAACTAAACTGATAAGAAACTCTAATAGAAATAAAACAAAGTAAAGCCAATCTGCAAGATTGAAGGCAAATACTGGCTATTTTATTAGTAAAAAAAAAAAAAAAATCTCGTTGGGGCCCAGCATGATGGCTCAGCTGGCTGTATCCTCCCCTTGTAAGCGCCAGGATCTCGTCCTGGCTGCTGCAGTTCCCATCCGGTTCCTTGCTTGTGGTCTGGGAAAGCAGTGGAGAATGGCTCAAAACCTTTGGGTCTGCATCCATGAGGGAGACCTAGAAGAAGCTCCTGGCTCCTGGGTTCACATTGGCTCAGCTCTGACCATTGTGGCAATTTTGGGAGTGAACCAGAAGAGGCAAGATTTTTCCCTGTAAATCTGCCTTTGGAATTGTTCATCATGTTGAGGAGAAATATAAGTTTAAAGCTTAAACCAAGCTAGATACACTAGAAACTCAAACAATGCAGGTTATTTGCATATAGATTATTTTAAGTAGATGCATTTTACTAGTAAACATTACATAAGTAAAAATTTTATTTTCCCTTATGTAACTTTTTCCAGAAAAAGTTCGAGCACAGTGCAGTGTACTAAGAAATGTTTTATGGAATATTATTTATTTCTTAATGTTTCTTTCAAACTAGAGAAAGGTTTGAATACTGAAGTAAATCCAGAGCCAGGACATTTATTGCTGGTTTTGACATGTGATTCAAAGATAGCAGGTGGCAAGAAACGTGGACAGCGCCATTCTGCCGCTGTTTTGTGTTAGAAGGCGATCCTTTAGAAGGGAAGATAAACCCTCTCCCAGGAGTGCTTGGTACTAAATGGTGCCAGGATAGCCACCCATGGCTTTTGGGTTTTGAAAGTCTAATAGTTTATTGAGAAATATTTCCACAAAATTTGCATCTAAAAAGCAATGGATTCAATCTATAGATACTTGCAGTATCTAGAAGTTTCCACACGTAGAACTAGCATCTGCTTCCAATCCAGCTTCTTGCTATGATTTATTTATTTTTATTGGAAAGACGAATTTACAGAGAAAAGGAGAGAGAGATTGCTCATCTGCCGGTTCATACCCCGAAGAACTTCATCGGCCAGAGCTGAGCCCATCTAAAGCCATGAAGCCAAGAGCCAGGAGCCTCTTTGGGGTCTCCCGTGTGGGTGCAGGGTAGTAGGGCTTTGGTCCATCCTCCACTGGCTTCCCATATCACAGGTAGGAAGCTGGATGGGAAGTACAGCTGCTAGGATCCAAAGTGGGGCGCCCACATGGAATGCTAGCACTTACCAGGTAGAGGATTAGCCCACTGAGCCATTTCACTGCCTCACCAGGGATTTTGTACTGTTGCTTCACCGTGTGACTTAGGGAGTATTAATGCAAGTGGGAAGATCATTGAAATGTAACTAAACCAGCTGACAGGAAAGATTACATTATTGTGTTTATGTTTCTTTTGTTGCCTTCTCATATCTTACTGAAATTACCTCTATTTAAAGCCAAATATGTTCATCATCAGGTTTTGTTAAAGTAGTTCTGGCAGCTTTCTAATTTGAGCTTTCTAATAACAGTGGTATTTGGAGTGCTTCACAATTCTTGGGATAATAACTCCCAAATTTCCATACTGACAAATAGAGAATATTTTCAGGACCAAAATTACAGTTTAATTATTGGCTGTTGATATGTGTAATTATTTAATAACCATAGAAAATTTTTTGTCCCAAAGTTATTTGTATTTTTACATTTAGTTCTAGGCTTAAATTTTCTGAGCACTTGAAATCTTGTTTTAGAGTGGACCTAGCTGTATAAAAGAGAGAAACACAACCAGTGAATAAGTTTGGAGTGTATAATTTTAAAGAATTTCTGCTTTTGAAGGCAATATTACAATGAAAGAAGATAGTGTTTTAGTTTCATGTGTGAATGGAGAAAAAAATGTCTATTTAAAAAATGTCTTACTAATGCTTTCTATGTAACATTGCCTACAATTTAAATAAAAATTGCCTTAAAATATAATTTTGGTTTATGGATTTATTTCTCATCAAGTTTTCCATGCATCTGATTTTTTTTCTTTTCAATTCCAGGGAACCCGAGATCATACCAGCAATGGGTACATACAGTAAAGGTAAAAACCCTCAAGGCCTTTGTTCCATTGCAAGAAATACAGAAAGTACACAGTGACAGCATGCTGCTGACATTACTTGTCAGCATTTACCATATTTGTCTATTTTCCCATTTAAATAGTTTTATTCTTAGTTTGTTATTAATAATTTTTTTTAACTGGCAAGCTTTTGTGTAGGCATAAATGACTTGTTTTGAAAAATGAGATTTGTCTGTCACCTTGTAGTTCAGAATAAGGAATTAGATAAAGTAGTAGGATTTGATGGTGATTTTTAAGCATTTTGATAATGTGACTATTTCAAAAACATTAAAAAAAAGTATTTTTGGAAATTTAGTATTACGTCTGCTGTATCTCTCTCTCTCTCACACACACACACACACACACACACACACACACACACACACACACACACACACACACACACACACACCTTCCATCTGCTTGTTCACTCCCCAGATGGCACAGTGACCAGGGCTGAGGCAGGCAGAAGCCAGAGTTTCATTTGAGTCTCCAACCTGACTTGGGTTCTCTGCTGCTTTCCTGTGTTGGAGCAGCTGGGACTCCAGGCTGTCCCAGATGGATGCTGGCATTGCAGGCAGCACCGCAGCTCATGGTGCCACAGTGCCAACTTGGGTTGTTCTTTTCAGGTGAGCTTGGCTGAAAGTGTTGGGGAACATGTTTCTGTTTTCTTTTGCAGAAAGGAGGTGCTCTGTTCAACACAGCAATGACCAAAGCAACACCTGCCGTACGGACAGCATATAAATTTGTAAGTGTTCCTTTTTTAAAAAAATTATTTTTTTTATTGGAAAGTCAGATTTACAGAGAGAAGAAGAGACGGAAGGAGCTTCCACCTTCTGACTCACTGCCTCAGTGGCCACAGCAGCCAGAACTGAGCCAATCGGAAGTGGGAGCCAGGAGCAGCTTCCGGGTCTCCCGTGTGGGTGCAGGGTCCCAAGGCTTTGCACCATCCTCCTTGCTTTCCCAGGTCACAAGCAGGGAGCTGGATGGGAAGTGGAATAGCTTGGGATACAAACTGGTGTCCATATAGGATCCCAGGGCATGCAAGGCAAGGACTTTAGTCACTAGGCTATTGCATTGGGCCCATAGGTGTTCTTTTGATATTTAAAAATTCTATAAGTAAGATGATGTAACATCTTTCCAAATAATGAACCTGTAAATTCAAAAACATTTTTTCTATTTAAAAAAGGTTTTTTTTTAATCGTGAACTAATTTAAACCAAGGTAATATGCATTATTAAAATTAATGCATAAGAGGATATTTTCTTCTTATATTCTAAAAATAGTTCTTCATTTCTGTCTCAAAGCTATTAGCAAAATGAAGCAATAGATGATGAAGTTATGTTTTGTAAAACTTGATTCCTCCATTTGACAGCATGTTTTATTGTATATCGGAGGCTCATACAGGAAAACATGTAGAGGAATGCCAGAGCTTTCCGTGTAAAAGCACTGACTCTCTACAGTTAAAATTCGTCAGAGAGGCTCGTTGGCTTATAGGGTGTTAATAAGTAACAAGAACAATGAGGACGAGGTCCCTTTAATGTGACGACCAAGACCCATCTGTGTCCTGGTCTGTCTTTTCAGAGGTGGTCTCTCCTCATTCCCGGTGTACTTCCTTTCTCCGTCAATCCATTTCTGTTGCTTGGAGCGTCCGTTTTTCATTACTTCTGTCCCTAATAAACACCAGCTCATCCTGTTACACCGAGATCAGGCCTTGGTTCTCCCGAAACATGCTCATTCAATGCCACATCCAAAGAATGCATGTGTGTACCCCGATGGCCCTGCAGGAAAGTGGGCCTCATGTTCCAGCACCTGTGCTGTGGTTGTACAAGCTTAACTCATGTCACTTCTCAACAGAAACCAGTATGTTGGTAGTAACTGAGATTCTTTCTTAAATTCTGCAATTGACATAATCCCATATTTTAAAAAACATTTGAAAGATGGAGTGTCCAAAAGAGAGCAAGAGACACTGAGAGAATTAGAAAGAGATCCCCCATCCCTGGTTCACTCCCGAGGTGACCGTAACAGGCTGGGCCAGGCCTGTGCTAGGAGCCTGGGTCTCCAACTGGGCACTTGTTGCTGGGCCAGCAGAGACCTGAGTGCTTGGGCCGCCTTGCGTGGCTGCCCCAGGCACAGCAGCAGAGACCTGAGTGCTTGGGCCGTCTTGCGTGGCTGCCCCAGGCACAGCAGCAGAGACCTGAGTGCTTGGGCCATCTTGCGTGGCTGCCCCAGGCACAGCAGCAGAGACCTGCTGCGACTTGACTTGGCACACGTGCGGGATGCTGCCGCTCCACAGCACTGGTCCTTATTCTGTATTTCTAAAAACATTCATGACAGTGGTTTGGGTTTCATCACAATTTCTCATAAATTTCTTTTCAGTGAATGAATTAATGTAGTAGAGTTTAAATAAAATATATCTTCACTAAAGTTTAAAGCTCATGTGCCTTACTTACTTTCCAGTTGTAGCACACAAGTGTTCCTCAAAAAGTTTGTGGAAAAAAAATAGAACTCAAGGTAGGAGTTTATACTGGAACAAAACTGTAAATCTCTGCGTAATTTCTCATAATTAACATTTTCCACATTTTAAATTATTTTCATATCTAAAATGTTTTATACCAAAATAAACTCACACCTTTAGTTCCATTTGGCACAAACATTTCAAAATGTCTTTTAGTCCATTCTGCCATCCTTTATGATTAGAAAAAAATGTAATTCAAAGATTACATTTCAAGTAGAAAACCTAGGTCACACAGTTGATTCAAACTTTACCACATTCAGAACTGTCTGAGACTTCATCAGCTTCACCAAATAGCAAAAATAAGAAGAGTTCAACATTTTGCGTTAGAAAGATCAGCCTCTGCTGTCTGGTTTATGCAACTTAGAAATCTCCCTGAGTCAATCACCGTACCATCTGGGAGCTTACAGACTTAACTTTCCCTGAGTCATTTTGCATAATTGTAAAATGTGATAATAATTGTAATGCTAAATTCACGGAGTTCATGCAGCATATAGTTATAGATAAAAAAAAAAACAAAATACACATCTTCCTTTTCTCTCCTTTTTTTTTCCTACTTTGACCTTAGGAATTCCCAGTGGAACAAAATCTAGACTTTGTTAAAATGCTTTTATTCTTATTATTTATTTGGAAGTCAGAGAGACAGAAAAAGGCTGTTGTTCCATCCTCTGGTTCATTCCCTAATGTCCTCAACAGAGGACTGGGTTACTCCTGCTGGCTGCCAGGAACTCATTCTGGTCTTCCAGTGTCTAGATGAGATTCCTCACTTGCCAGCTACTGTCTAGGTATGCGATGGCTGGAATCCAGAGCCAAGGTCAAGCCCTGACGCTCTGCTGTGGATGGGGCTGTCTCACGTGGCATCTTTACTGCTCCACCAAATGCCCGAAGCTGGGCTGAGGCTCTAAGGGCAGCCCCCAGTGGTCTTCAGATCAGTTACACCCCACACAGTTCATAGCTGGATGCGGGACCCTGAAATTCTGGAGCTGGCTTGCAGGTGTAACGTGCGCATAGCCTTTGAATCGTCAGATGCCATGGGCTTCACCGGAAAGACCATGTATGAAGCAACCATAACATTAGGACAGTGCTGCTAATGAAAAGATGGGCGTGCTAGTAAAAGCGCTCTAGTAAAGCCTTGGAAAGTTGCCCCAGTTTCCTTGCCCAAACAACTTAGTGCTGGAAAGTGCTGTCACTTTTCTGTGTTTGCCACAGTTTCGAACTGAGACTAGCTGTGACTAGTCTGGTTGATTTGCTTAGAGCCCAGGAGGCAAAACTAGCCACACATTACCTTCTGTATAATATTTTTACGAAAAAGGAAACTAGCCATATTTGTAGCAGCTCTTTTAGGTGTAAGAAAGTAGTGAGGGGTGTTGCATTCCTGAAAACACAGTGCAGATTACAATCTGTTTTCCAGATAATAGGAATATTTAACAATTTTAATTAAATGTGATTTAAATTTTTTTTCTGTACATAATCTTTCCATGGTTATGTAACCTTACATTTGTTGTTTCCTAGGCAAAAAATCACGCAAAGCTGGGCCTGAGGGAAGTGAGGAGCAAGCTCAAGTCCAAGGTGAGCCTTGTCCTTGTCGCCTGGAAGCTGGTGCTCGTCTGAGGCTCAGGCTCTGCGAGTCACAGGAGATTTGTTTTTAATGACTTTTGAAATATGCTTATCCCTTCGTTCAAAACTTTATTTTTCATAGCAGGCCCTCTGGCAACACTCTGCTCGTCTGTATGCATCTATTGAATGATCCCTTTCTATTTGCATATTTTATCAGAAAGCTGTGGAGGTCTTCAGAGGTGCCTTAACAGAAAGTATGTTTTCATAAAGTTGATTGCCTTGATATCACAACTGAAGTGCTTGCTTCAAGCTGAGGAATGTTTTTAAAAGATATGTTGTGGTAGAATTAATCCAGGAATGCTGCCATTTGGTTCTATAGGCTGTTTCCAATAATGGTTACTTTAAATTGAAGAATGTTGTTAATTTAAAAAAAGACTGCATATGAGGATTTATATTTGATTTTAGGAATGTGACAGGCATATACATATGTATATGCATACTTAAATGTGCATGTTTCAGTTGATTATGTATGACATCTTTGAAGATTTTATTGTTAAATTTTGTGCTTAATTGTTTTTCTATTAGAGAAAACATAGTACTTCAGATTGCCAGTGTAGGAATGAAAAGCAATTCATCTTCATCTAATGTTATTTAAGTTGTCCATAATAATCAAAGATTACTGGGGAATGATTAATTCATATTGTAGAAAAATGAATTTTCTTCTTCCTTAGATCCTTTATAATTGTTATTTGCTGAATTATCAGATACTTTGCTGATCAAACCACTGTAATAATAAATGAATATTTCGAAATGATTGTTTTTGTATTTTTTCATAGGAAAATGAGGAGGATTATGGTCCCTGTTCTGGCTCTGTGCAGTATACACCAGTTCACATGGCACACAGTGAGAAGGGAGAAACCCTACAAACGCAAAAGACAGCCCAGGTAAGGCTGTTTGCCGTTTTTGCCTCCACATTGTAATTGTATAATTTCAGTGAACAATGTTGGGACCCAAGTTTTTCACTTTGTTAAAAAAAAAAGGGGGGAGGCTACCAGGAGATTGAGAAACATATGTTTTAGATGTCAGTTTCATCGGAAGTGCTCCAAATCTGCGAATATTTGAGGCTAATATGATGCCACAAGTTGAAAATTACATACCTGGGTCCTAGCCCTGCACACGCTGGAATTCCATATGGGTACTGGTTCTAATTCCAGCAGGTCCTGCTTCCCATCCAGCTCCCTGCTTGTGGTGTGGGAAAGCAGTCAAGGACGGCCCAAAGCCTTGGGACCCTGCACTCGCATGGGAGACCCGGAAGAGGCTCTGGACTCTTGGCTTCAGGTCAAATCAGAGCAGCTCCGGCCATTGCAGCCACTTAGGGAGTGAATCAACAGATGGAAGATCTTCTCTGTCTCTCCTCCTCTCCATATATCCGACTTTCTAATAAAAGTAAAATAAATCTTTAAAAAAAGGAAAAAAATAAGAAAATTGCGCCTCTGATCTCACATGTTCAGTTAGAGTCAAATTGCAAGTTTCCTGAAAATATTTTACATCGTCTTCAGGCTGTGTGTGCTCAGTGTTTATGAAACTTAAATGAAGTTCGTGACTAGACTTCATGAACCCTACAATAGCTCATTATGGATATGCAAATAATCCAAAATCCCATAACTACTGAAATTTGAAAAACTTGGTCCCAAACATTTTATTTTTATTATTTTTTTTTATTGGAAAGGCGGATATACAGAGAGGAGAGACAGAGAGGAAGATCTTCTGTCCGATGATTCACTCCCCAAGTGAGCGCAACGGGCCGATACTATGCCGATCCGAAGCCAGGAGCCTCTTCCGGGTCTCCCACGCGGGTGCAGGTTCCCAAGGCTTTGGGCCGTCCTCGACTGCTTTCCCAGGCCACAAGCAGGGAGCTGGAAGGGAAGCGGGGCTGCCGGGATTAGAACCGGCGCCCATGTGGGATCCTGGGCGTGCAAGGCGAGGACCTTTAACCACTTGCGCCACCGCGCTGGGCCCGGTCCCAAACATTTTAAATAGGGGATATACAGTCTGTCCTTTTGTCCTCACATAGCTAGTAGTTCTAACTAGGAGAAAGAATTTAATGTATGTTTGACATAAGGTTTGAAGAGTTTAGTGGTGAGCAAAAAATTGCATGCTTCTTTTGTGACAAAAATAAAATGAAAGTGATTCATGGGAATTTGATCATTGAGTCACACATAACAGAGATGGTCCTCAACGTCCCATGTGAATGTGGTTCCTATAAACCAACCCATTGGAAATTGAAAATTTGTCAAAAGTGCATTTGCTACCCCTGCCCTAGTGAGCACTGTGCCTGAGCAGCACCAGGCATTGTGTAGTACCAGAGAAGCCCATGTCCAGTGTGTTCCAGGTGCCAAGGGGTTCAGGGTCACAGCTGTGTGTGCCTTGGTTTGTATAGTAAGTATGTTTCGGAAGATTTTGAACAAGTAAAATATGTACATATTAACTAATAGTTTAAATGGCCTTAGTCAATTAGCTTCAAGATGAATTCTTCAGTGGATTATAATTTAAAAAGTAGAGAAGTGAAAGTAGCTGCGAAGACTGATTTATTAGAGGTTTACGGATGAGAAAGTTGGCATTTAGATCAGTGAACTGCATGCCTTCAGCCTGGGAACTGGGCAGGAGCAGAGGAGGACTCAGTTCCAGCTCCAGGTCTTGCTGGGTTTCCTGACTGGCCAGGTACCACAAAAGGGTGACAGTGAGGTGCTCTGTGTGGCTTGTTCTTAGCCCGATTTTGCTGTGGTAGTAACATTCCCAAGACTGTGGAGATGGCTTCCCCCTGCCTCGTCCCAGGGCAGAGGCCGGAGGACAGGAAGGAGTGGGAGAAGACCCTGCTGCTGTCCTGTAACAGTGATGGTGCCACCACCCTCCAGGCTAATCCCTCTGAATCCTGTTGACAGCTGCACTTCAGTCCCAGCACTCAAGCCACTGTGGTCTTTGGCAATGGGAAAGAGTCTGTGGAATTGGACCGAAACCCTTAGTCTTATTAAAAAGCTCATTTATTCTTTCATTCAACAACCTGTGAGCCAGGCACTTTCTGATTCCAGACACTAGACAGAAGGAAAAACCAAAATCACTGCCCTCTCATTGGAGCACTTTAGTAAAATACTAAACGCTGCCTCTGATTTACTCAAGTATGCAGCTGATGTCCATGCGACAGCATTCCCTAATCTCAGCATGCTGGTTCAGCTGGCTGTGAGCTACAGATAGGCACGCTCTTCAGTAAAGTCATTATGCTGTGAGTATAGACAACTTTTCTGGAGAACATGCATTAACTTGAAAATCAGGATGGATTTGCTATTAACTTTTCTGTTTCTACCTTGGACACCCCCCCACACACGTTGGTTATATTCAGTTCTTGTCTATATCAAGCCTTAATATCTTAAACATTTTTGTAAAATGTATATTGCCTTACTGTGAGTGCATTTGGCTTATTTGTGCCACAGTGAATAGATATTTATATGAAAAAGAGAAGATCTTTCATGTTTGTAAGCTGCTTATTAATTTTGTTACTTTATCAAGCTTTAAGATGAAATCTTTCAAATTGAAGCAATTTTTAGAAATGAAGCATTTTAATTTTTCAATCTACCTTTCCCTTATTATTATATTACATTTTAATTATTTAGCTATCAAATAGTTACTGATTTTTTGTCTGTATTAATTCATAGATAGGTTTCTGTTTTATTGTATATAAAAGTATGCAATATGATGTTTGATATGCATATGTAGCATAAAATTCTTAGGCTTAGCACTTATTATAATGTCAGTAGTTCTGTAATCTATATTAACTAATTAGCATTTTATGGTTTTCAGGTACATGTGAGGGAAATGATAATTCCTAACAAGAATTAGGAGAAGTCGGATTTATTCTGTTAAGAATTCTGATATATATCTCTATCCTGCTGTATATGAATTTACTCAATGTATTTGGAATTATGATGTAGACATTGATAGTGCTTCAAAAACAGTCTTTAATTTTCAAGTAATGAATATTTGCACTTCAGGAAACATGTACCCAGTATGTATGTAAGTTTTAATTTATCTTTATTTGAAAGATGAGGATGGGGACGGATACAAAGCCCTTACGCCTGCTGGTTCACTCTGCAGATACAGCCTCCAGGGCTGCAATGGGCAGAGGAGTCAGTGCAGGCCTCCCAGGTGCAGGGTGGTGTGTTGGGAGAGGGTCAGGCATGCAGCCCTTTGAGTCTCCTGTGTCTAGAAGGACCCTGTGGTCAAGAATGCACCCAGGACACTGTGTTTTGACTGTTAGGCTGTTAGATTGCTTAATGTTTGATTCACATTTATACTTATCAAAGAGTTAAATTTTTGGAGCTTTAGCCATTGCTTTTGCTGCTCTTCCTGCTCTTGCATTTTGCTCCCAAGATTCCCACAAACCATGCTTGCTTCCAATACTAATTTTACTTCCACGAGCTCATAGTTATTCCTAACATGAGAGCCAGTTTGCGGCCAGCAGCATGTTCATAAAAGCACAGAAAGGAATATCCCGCTTGAATTGTCATTCGGTCTTGATTAGCATTATTTGTTCAGTTTTAAAGTATTTTATGGTATTAACAAACTCACATAAATAAAATAATAATATTAGAATACTTAGATAAGAAAACAGATATTCCTCCAAACATCTGAATATTAAAATTTATGTAGGCATCTCATAGGATTGGAAGTAGGAAACAGAAAAAGTAGAGAAGAGAATCACCTTTTTTCTCCTTCCTTTCCTCTCCCACCTGGGCCTCTCCTCCCTCCCCTCCTGTCCCTAGCCCTCACCATCTCCCCCTTCTGCCTGTCCCTCAGTCTGTCCCAGTTCCTCTCCTCCTCCTTCCCTCTCCTTCTCTCCCCTCCTTCTGCCTCTTCCTCACTCTTAGTCCCTTCCTCTCCGTCTGCCTTTCTCCCTGTCTTCCTCTCTGTCCCTCTGCCTCTCCTCCCTCTCCTCCCCTCCCTGTTCTCTGCTCTTCCTCGCTCTGCTCACTCTTGGACCCTCCGCTGCTTTCCCTCTCCTCTGCCTGCTCTCTCCCTCTGCGTCTCTTCTAACCTCGGCCTTCTCTGTACCCCACCACTCCTTTCAGCACCTGAGTGGTCTGGTGGCTTTCACTTCGGTTCTGTGCCTTGATGCACACATCTTGTAGACTCTTGATGGAAGCAAGTACTAGAAATGGACAACTTGGGAATCTAATTATTTATGGAAGAAGGCAGTCAGTCCCCTTGGACCAGGTCTTAGTGCTCCTTTCTGTAACTCCAGGCAGCGAGGCAGGGAGAGAACCGTATTACCAAGGACACTGGCACGGCAGCAGAATGAGAGCAGGGAAGGCAGTTCTCAGACAAGAGGTTTCAAGGACTTTGATGATGTCTTGTAAGATACTAGTTCTCATCAGCTTACAATGCTATTTGTCAAAAAATCCTTTTTGCAAAAACAAACAAAGCTTTTTAATTTGCTAGAGGGTAGATCTTTGCCACCTAAATCTGAAGCTTATGTGCACAAATAAATGGGGAAGGATTGGTTATTATCTACTGCCTTACCTCTGTCATCTGCTACAGGATGGGTGTCCTTGGTTCACTTTCTGTAGAGAATTCAGCCCCGTTGGGTCAATCAAATATAATCTAGTTATTATAGACGAAAGAAAGCTGACGCTGGAACATGAATATACTGGTTTTAAGTAATTACCAAATCAGTGAATTCTCTTACCCCCAAATTTCCAAGATATGAGCATATTAAGGATCTGTTAAGTATGTACTTCTAAGATATGATTAAGGGCAAAATCAATAAACATATTAATAAATATGTCAATAGGCTTACTGATTCATTTATATTCTACCTATTTTGAAAAATGTTCTCAACACTTTATGAAGAATCTTAGACTAAAAAAATCAAACTTTAAGTTAGGTAATA